CTTCCAAAGGCTTATCACCTCTAGGGATATATCCTAAGGAAATAACTCAGGATGTGAACAAACTATGGTTGCATGAAGCCCTCACTGAAGGGCTGTTTATAATAGCCAGAAGATACTAAATACCTTATTTGTACAATGATGATATCTGAATTGATGTAGAGGGTGACTATTTACAGATACGCAAAGGTGCTTAAACTCTCAAGTGAAAAAGCAGGATATCAAATAAATATAGAATCCCATTTTTGTAAAATATGTGTTGAAGAGAGATTTGGGAGGACAGATACTAAGATTAGTTGAACTTATCTCAATAGGACAAGACTGTGTTTTTTAAATGTTCTCCTTTTGGCTAAACATATATTGTTTTAACATGTAGAACAAAAATATGTGATAAGAATAAGACATAAAATCAATCGGAAAAAGCATCAGTAAAGTCTATATTCAGATCTCTCTAACTGCCATTTCTGAGCTTCCAAGTACTATTTTCTTTTGAATGGTGTCTTGCCCCCAACAGCTCTTCCCCGCCATTCCCACGAGGGCCTGACAAGGTGTGATCTCAGCCACTTGGAAATCCCCCTTGGTCCTGGACAAGATGCGATGGATCTTGCTGTGCTTGCCAGCTGCAAATGCCTCTCCCCTGCCTTCTGCCCTTTCCCTTCCATGGCTGAACCCAAGGGGCTCCACTGTGGGGGAAAGGCTTGGGGCTTAAGCATCCACTGTTTCTTTTAAGCTCCCCAGGTGATGTCAATGTGAGAACAGGGCTGGCCCCAAATGCTCAGTGCATTCATTCCTTTGTGATACTGCACTTCCCACCCACTGTTTGGGCCTCTCCAAAGGTCTACAGTCCAGTCTCTTTTGCATCAGCCTTTTTTTTTTTTTTGGTGGTGGTGGTGGGAATCGAACCCAGGGCCTGTGCACACTAAGCACACAATCCACCACTGAGCTACACCCCAGAGCAAGCATCCACCCTCAGAACCATTCAACAATCTTCAGTACTACTACAAACTAGCTACCATGGCCTCTCCTCCTGCCTAAATCCAGGCCCAGAATACCTATCTGCATTACAGAGGATCCATTATAAGGCTCAAGGTGGAAGTTTCCAGTAAAAATCTATAACCTCAGAGCATCCCTTGTAGGGTCTCATAAATGACCCGTCAGAAGGTTACACAGGAAACAAATCATGTCTACTCTATGATTCCTGAATTAATGAATAAATCCAGTATCACGACCAGTGTTCCTTTAACATTCCTCGTGGTGCTAGCATATTACATGCCTCATTTCTGGGTGGGGAGAGGGGCTGCCATGCATTCCCCAGCCTCTCCAGCCAAATCCAGAGCTCTGTCTTTATGGAATTCCAGGCATCCCAAGCTCAGCTAGGAGGGCACATTTCCGAGCCCAGAAGTTCTAAAAAAATTTCTTGAATTTCATGCCACTTCCCGAGTGAACTGGTAGTGCGCTAATTCTAGACATAGCCTGTCCATGAGGTTTGTTGCAGAACTTAACTTTCACAAGCAGCTGTTTGAGGAGCCTGATGGGAGGTGACCAGGCTGAGTCAGGGTCTGCACCTGATGACCTGAAGCTGCATCTCTGCAACTTCCTTCCTGAGGTCATAGGTACTATCCAGTGACTTGAAAAGATCACCATTGAATTGAGTAGACAATTCTATTTCCAAGTCCCCGGATTGGTGACATAAACACAGGCTGGACAGGTGTGGCCACTGCAGGGTTGTTTTCTTAGCCCATTGGCCAAATTCCTCCAACTCACCTTGACCTTCCACGTTCCCTTCAATGTCCCACAGTTCTTATCAACTCTTTGCAGAGTGCCAGAAGGACTCACTCAGTTGCTCAAATGTGTGCAGAATTAAACTTAGGGCCATGGTTCAAAGGATCATTGATTTTTTTCCTCCTCAATCTCCAGCCTGCTCCCACCAAGGGAAAAATGGCCAAGGAAGATTAGTCCTGACTGGCCACTAATCAGCCACACAGGGGAAGGCTGCTGTGGTGTTTATGAACGCTTTGCAAAAACCAAAACACATCCTCTGTGTGCGACCCCTCATGCCCTGTCCTTCCTTCTGCTGCCTACAATACCACCCTGCCCAAAGTGCCCCAATGCTCGCAGAAGAATGCCCATCAGCTCTGTGGGCACTGCAGCCCCACTCTACCAACACCTTCTCTGGGCACCTGTTCCCAACCTCCAATAGCACCCTGCGTCCTTGTTCAGGCCATCTCAGTGTCTCTAAGCCTCTCCCTGTTTATGCCCATGAACCTTTGCCAAAAACTGCCATGCTTCTGTCAGGGGCTGGATGACTACCCTGGATACCGTTGGCAGGTAAGGGGTCCTAAGGACTCGGTGTATGGACATAGGCACAGGGACCTCTTGGGGATGGCAGAGGTGCTATCTCTATTCTTTCTAGAGTTCCACAGTCATGGGCTGGCCCAGGTTTGGGGCAAGGACAGGACTCTGATGCCACAGCAATAGCTAATACCTAGTGCCACGGCTCATTCTTCTGTATGGTTTATCTCTTTTCTTTTCTCAATATCTTGAAAGAAAGTCTTCCAGGGAGACTATAAACCTGGATTTTTCTTCTTTCTTTTTTTTGAGCCTGGATTTTTAACAAGTCCTTAGCGAAATTCTGGGAGTCATCATATCTATCTCCTGGGCTCAGGGCAGGCGCTTGTAAGCTGGCAGCCTCTGGACCATGCACAGCCTCCCCCTTACTCTACTTGGATTGTCAGAGCCCGAGGGACCAGAAGGAGCCTTGGGAGAGGACGCTCTAAGCCTGCATCCTGTTCTTTTGGCTTTGACAACATCTGCTGTACTTCTATTTAGGCTGATTGCTCGGTCTGGCTTTTGATTTTGGTTAAAGCACATTTTCCTGCCCTTACAACCTCTGAGAAGACCTATGGGTGCTGATACTATCATCCATGGCCCCCACAAAGTGCCACTGCCTAAGGGGTATGGACGGGACAGCAGCCTTCAGCATGTTGGCTCCGCTGGACTAGCACTCACCTGCTTCACAACGACAAACCCATCCAAAATGCCCTTTCTTTTTATGGCCGTGTAAGGAATGGGCACCTAAGGGGGGAACCAGGATTGGCCTGTGTGGTGCACCTTGACAGAGACCAACTGGCCTCAGGTATAGGCCTGTGGGCTTTCTGATATTTATAGTTAACATTTATGGTGGGCTTTAGGGGCTTAAATAATTCTGCTAAAATTATTGGAAATAAGTTTTATAGCTTGGGCTTTGGAATATCAAATACATACATGCCAACAGTAATTCCAGTAGTCGATAACTATAATAATGCTCTTGAGTATACATTCAGCTACTACCCAGAAAGCACAAACCATAATGGTGCTTGTTAGAAGTGGTGGAAAGGTCAACAGCAGGTGGATCTCAGCTATACAGGCAGATACAAAACTGCAGGAGACTAATTGCTCAGGAGCTGGAACAAGACTGAGCTCCAGCAGAACTCCTCCTACATCTTGGGATTGAGGACCACCTTTGGGATGGAACCACTTGGATGTACCTGTCTGGTCCAGAAGGGTCTGAGGTGACACTGAGCTTCCTGAAGGCAAAGGGGGCTCTCTTTCACTTTCGTATCTGTGATACAGAGCACAGCACAATAGTCCACATGTTCACTAGGACCTTAGAACATCTCTCAGACAGGCACTAACAAGTGGCCAGGCCCCCAGCTGAACCTCACATATTGGGTCTCTTTAAACAATGAATCCAAAACATCAATATTTTTTCTTTTTTTTTTTCAAGCTGGGTTTGGTGGTACATATCTGTCATTTCAGAACTTGAAAGGATGAGGCAGGAGGACAGCAAGTTTGAGGTGAGAGTGGGCTGAGTTCAAGGACAGCTTGGACTGCATGAGACCCTGTCTCGAGAAACAAAACAGAACAAAACCATCCAGCCACCACCTGTAAAATGGAGGTGGTATCAGCCCATAGCTCGTGCAGGACTAAGTGAGGAAGAAATGCATGTGAAGACTGCCTCTCAGAAAGCACCAGGGCTGGGGGCCATTCTCATCACCTCTCTGTGTTGGTGTCACCACCACCCTAGGTGTGGATGCAGCAGCGGGCCATGGATGCTTTAGGTGTAGGTGGTGTGATTTGCAGTCCTGCAGGCAGAGAAACGGGACAAGCCTGCAACCTGGTGTAAACTCTGAGGTCCGCTGGGCACAGAGGAGCTCCCTCCCTGCACAATGTGCAGTATCCCAGCTGCCGAGTCCTGGCGGTTTCCAGAATGACCAGAATCGGCCATTGTGCGGGATACTCTGGGACAGGCTGCTCTTCCTACCCTTCCTCATTCAACACTCTGGCTTTTCGAGCTCTCCACAGCACTTCTTTGTCTGTTGTTCAGAAAAAAGAAAAAAGAGAGGAAAAAAAAGAATCGAGCCGCAACTTGAGGGAGGCTTGAATTTAACTTAAACTGTGTGGCTGTAAGGGTCTCCATCCAATTTTTTTCCAAAAGATTATTCTCCAAGGAAAAAAGAAAACAAAATAGCCAAATCTCAAACATTTTTCAGTCTCTGTTATCCCACGGCTCTCTTTACCCCTTGAGACAAGATTTTTCAACAGGAATGGGGCTGAAGTTTGAGGGCATGGCCTAGAGAAGCTGCTTTCATTTCTACCACTAAAGACAAACTTGGATTTTTGCAGGCCAGATTTTCCCTCCGGCCAGCCCTCTGCTTGATGGGGCCAAACCACTGAAAGAATAAATGAATGTGAAAAATTTGCCTCACAGCAGCAAACGCTAAGATTTTCTACAGATACAAATTCCCCAGCAAACCCAGCCCAAAGATAATAAAAATGAAGGTTGGGTTTATTGGTCTTGTTAAAGGCTGCCTGCCTGATTTTCTTTAGGGGCTGAGTCTGTTTACACGGAGGGGAAGGCGTTACTGACATGGCAGTTTTAGAAAATCAACAGAGGCCCCCAACACTAATCAGTGTGCAGCCGGCTCAGCCTCTCATTCCGCAAATACTCACTGTGCATTTACCATGCTCCAGCACCGTGTGGGGTGTGGGCTGTGGGGTGCTGGCGGGGGCAGAGGACAATGCAGCTCAGGAGGTGGCCTCAGTCTGGTGAGGAAGGACAGAGCTTGGGTCCCAAGTGGTAGATGGCGAAGAGGCTAAGAAGGGAGGTGGGGTTTGAGCTCGACATCATCAGTTGACAACTTACATGCAGCAGGGCTCTATTCCAGAACCAATGTGTAAACACACTAGCAGCCTTTCTGAAGAATTAGAGATCTAGGCCACTGTTTTCCTAAAGACACTATGTGGAGGAAGGCTTTGGTCTCAGTGGTCAGCGATGGTCACCCACTGGGGAATGAGGGGCTCACAGGCGTAGCATCCGCAGGGTCTGGGACAGGGGTGTCAGCAACACCGTATGCTCCCTACTTAATTATAACTCAGGGCTGGTGTATAGCTCAGTGGGAGAGTACTTGCCTAGCATTCATGAGGCTCAGGGTTCAATTCCCAGCACTGCCAAAAGCTAGAAGGTGAGCTAACTGTTGCATACATTCTACCCGCCTGCCTTGAGAGCACACCTTTCTAATGATGCAAATAAGGCAGGCTCAAGCAGATTACCAGACTTCTGATTTCTGCCACAGGCCTAGCCTGTCTCAGGACCACCCAGGGGGACCCTTCAGCTCCAAGCACCCCCTCATGACCTCTGCAACCTACGGCTGTGCCTGTTAGTGGCTCAGTGCAAACCTGGGAGGACAGACCCAAGTAGGAGTCCAGGCAGGCCCCATTCTTTGTCTCCTCTGCTTCCAGGCTACCCCGCAGAGAAGACAGTGGCAGACGGTGTTCAGAGCAGCTCCCTCTATGAGGGGGACCCCACCACTCAGGTCTACATGTGACCTTTGTGCAGGCAAGGATCCAACGCACTGGACTATGAGGCCTACTGTGCTGTGTGGTTTTGATTAAGATGATGATAGAGGCTAATCTTTACCCCAGATAACAACTCCAACATTAGTCTAGTTTTCATTTAATCCCCCACCAGCCTGTGAGAGGAGGAGGCTCACTGTTATTCCCATTTTACATACAAGGAAACTAAGATTACTGTGGTTGTCATTTATCCAAGGCTACACAGCCAGGGATGGTACAGCCAGGGTTTAAATATTAGATACTAAGTCTCATGGCCTAAAAATACTCAGAGGAAAATCATTTCCTGATCCTGAATCATGGAAAATGAAGAGCCGGAAGGAACCACAATGTCAAACCCTGGTGGTGTGACCTGGTGGGGGCCGAGCGGCCACAGCAGGAGAGGAGTCCAGGATCTACCTGCTGGGCAGTCCCCATGAGGGCAGTGGGGTGTCCCTGCAGTGTTCAGGGGACGGCATGGGGGGCACTGTGCAGGGGGCCTGGGGTCCCCAGGGATGAACAGCGAAGTGAGTTGGGGCTGGACAGGCGGCCAGCACAGTGTGGTCCTCAGGCCTCGGAAGGCTGGGCAGGCAACCTCTCTCCAGGTGAGGCCTTGGAGTTCTTTTCTAAAGCTGCCACCTTTGATGATTCTCTAAATCCTGTGAGCGAAGTGGCAGCCTGGGGTGGGGAAGCCCCAGAATTTGGCTGCTGTACAGCTTCACTCTGAGTACAAGTTGTTTGTTTTTTTTCCTGGTACTGGGGATCGAACTTGGGTCCTTGCACTTGCAAAGCAGGCACCAGAACCACTGTGCTGAATCCCCGGCAGCTTCACTCTGTTTCCCAATGGGAAAGTGGGTACCTGGATATCTGGGGAGATGGGTGGTCTCAGGTTCTGCGGGCTGGGCCTGGGACCTTGGTTCCTTCCCTACAGCAGTGCTGGCCAAGTAAGGCCTTAAAGGTTAGGAAAGATGCTTTTTTCTCTTGTAATTTTTTATTGGTACATTATAGGTATATAATACAGTTACATTCATCATTGGGATCTTGTACCTTTATATGACATATCTTGGTTCTTATTTTTTTCCCATTTCCCTATCCTCCCTTCCCCACTCCACCTTCCTTTGTAATTTTTAAGTAAAAAAAAAAATTTTTTTTTTTGTTTTTTGTTTTTTGGGGCAGAGTCTTTCTTATGGAGCCCCAGCTAGCAGTGATCCTCCTGCCTCAGCCTGACAAATGCTGCGATTGCAGCAGAGTTCACCACCATGCCCAGCTTTTTAAATTTTATTTTTTTAACTTTTTAAACTAAGGTCTATGCAAGTGCAAGATCCTGATCCTACATACAGCTCAGTGCATTTTTAATTTGTAGATATTATGTAAGCACCACCCACACCGAAATAATAGACTGTGTTGAAATGGGCTGTAAACTGCAAAGATGCAAGCACACTCCCCTTATAAAACCCTAAAACAGGACTAAGCGGACACGGCCTGGGGTCCCCACTACACAGGCCCCAGTGTTACTACTGTGTCCCAAGCAGGGCTCCCTAGGCTGGGATTCTCAAGCCCCAAGGCAGCTAAGTAGCTAGGCAGGAGAGAGAGAAGAGAGAGAAGAGAGAGAAGAAAGGAAGGCGGGAGAGACCGGGAGGGAGAGAGAGTGGGAGCCAGAGGGAGAGGGATAGGTGGGATCCTTGCAACCTAAAGGCGTCTAACTCAACTCCAACTTTGGCTGCCACAAACAAAGAGCAGCCCCTCAGGTGCTGGGCAGACTCGAGGTGGGGGGGACTGGGGTGCGCCAAGTTCTGAGAGGCTCCTAGAGGTGGGGGCCCCAGCCCTGTGCAAGGAGCAACAGCGAGAAACCGCCCGAACTGGTTACATTCCAGCAAGATTAGCACAAGGCCGGGCCTGCTCCAGCACACCCCTCCTCCCCTCTGGGCTGTGAAAAGGATTTTTAACTATTTCCCTCCTCCTAGCTGTCCAGCCCCACACACTGACAACGCTCCCCCGCTGTTTGCACATTAACCTCCCATTTGCCAGGCAGTGTCTCAGAGGCTGCAGATTAACACCCACCAACCCGGACAATGGGCCCCAGGGAGGGCACAAGGGGTTCAGACAAAGGATCCAGACGACAAGCCTAGTCAATCACTCTCAGCGACCACTGGGCATGAGAACAGGGGCTCCAGACTCCAGACAGGACACACAGAAATCACCGCCAGCACCTGCCCCTTGCAGAGTTTGTGGCCCTCACGCAGGCCCTATCCAGAAGGGACTGCCACTGAAGGGCTGGGGAACGGAGCTGGGAAGGGCGGCCCTGGAAGAGCCTGCCCATTTCGCTCCACTCAGCTCTCGGGACAGAGCAGGAAGCAAGTGGCCCCTCCCCAAAGCAGCTGGTAGGCATCAATCCACACGCTAATGACAGTTTCACATTCTTGTGTGCGGGTGCACACACATGTGAACATGGAAAAGCAGCAGCATGCATGTGAGGGACCCAAGTTCCTCTACCCCAGCTGCCCAACGAAGGCTTTGGCATGTGTATTAAAATATCCTCTAGGTGACTCAAATTCAACCTTGTCCTCAATCCAAGCCTCTTTTTTTTTTTTTTTTTTTTTAAATACCAGGGATCAAACTTGGGTCCTTGTGCTTGAGAGGCAGGTGGTGGAACCACTGAGCTAAATCCCTGGCCCAACCCAAGCCTTTTACAAAGAATGTTCTCCTTCATCAACTGAGGACCTTGGCCTCACCATGTACCCCAGGCTGGGCTTGAACCTTAATGATTCACCTGCCTCAGCCTCCTGTGTGCTGGGATCACAGGAGGTTCCCACCATGCCTGCTATGATTCTATATTTCTAACATTCTCAGGCAGTGCTCTCTTTGCTCCTTCCCCAGGTGGTGACACTGTCTGGCTCCTGTCGCCACCTTCTGAGGCAGCCAGTTCTAGTGGGAGACAGCTCTACAGGGAGCCCTCTGCATGCTGAGACCTCCCATCATGGCCAGAGGAGGTTCCCTTGCTCTTGAGAAAAGCCCTGCTCTTCACCTGTACCTGTACATCTGGGTCTCTATCCTCGCAGGGAGACTATTTCTCAGAACCCCCAGAGTTCACAGTGCCAACGCTGGATAGGGGGCAGGGAGCAGAGCCCCCAACGGAAACAGAAACCAGAGTTCCTGCCCCGGGGCATCCAACATATAAGAAAGTGAAGACAATTAAAAAGCAACAACCACAATTAATATGGTTTACACAGGCAAAACTCATTAAGTGTGGGTTGCCATGCTGGAGGTTACCTTTACTGGGCAAACACTTTCTTTACAGACAGTCCACATTAATTGCAAACAAGATGCCAGGGGGAATATTTAAACGGCTATGAAACACCCTTTGAGCACCCCAATGGAAGGGCAGAGCACCCCTAACCTAAAAGGGATCCACACAGAGCCTTGCCCAGGGAGCCCCCTGCCGGCCTGCCTTAAATTCCTGCAAAGTTCCAATGAACCCACTTTGTTTCTTGGGGTTGGGGATGGAGCTGGGTGGTGACACACAAGGCCCTGGGTTCAGTCTACAGCGCTGCCAAAAACTAGAAACATTCACCCTCTTTGGGAAGTTTTATAATTCAGAAGCCTCCCTCCCTCACACAGACATCTAGCCCACTCGTGAGTGAACTGTGTAACCAGGCAGGGAGTGCTGCAGGAATCACTTCCCCCTTACTGCTGTGTGCGTGCGTGCGTGTGTGCGTGCGTGAGTGTGGTTTCTGGTTCAAGGTGGCCATGAGTCTACAGTAATCATCCCTAGTCATCAGATGATGTGGACTGGCCCCCACAGAGTTTTTATCTGGGCGTCCTGCCCTTCTACCTGCTCCAGCCTGGGAACTCCTTAGAGCTCCAGAAAGCAGTACTGACCCAAGGGATCCCACTCCATCTCCTGGCCCCTGCAAGTTACAGATGACTGGGGTCTGGCTGAGCTGGGCTGACTGCACCCATTAGTAGTTCTGTTAACTTAGTCTAAAGTTACCCTTTCTCAGCCTCAATCCCCACATATTTAAAACAAACAAAAAAAAAGGTAATATAACAATCCAGTTCCTAAGGTTGTACTGCAGTTTAACTGAGCAAGCAGAGCACTTGGACTAGGTAAACTATTATAATGGCAATAAAAAGTAGAAGAGCTTTCTTTCTTTTCTTTTTTTTTTATTTTGAGATAAGGTCTTGCTAAGTTGCCAAGGCTATAGAGGTATGGAGGAGACCCTTCTGTATTGTTGGTGAGAATGTAAACTAGTACCACCACTA